GGAGTTTTTAGTCAAAGGGTGCAAAATTTATTTTATATAAGATTAACAGGTTCCAGAAATCTAGTGTAAAGCAAGTGCTTGCAGTTTAGAATACTGTATTTGGTCTTAAAAACTTTCTAAGCAGGTAAGCCTTAGGTGAAGTGTTTTTAATCAGAAAAAGTAATAACAATAAATCAAAACAGGGCTGTTAAGCCACTTTGAGAGGTAATGAATGTGGATGTGACAGGGTGTAGTGATCAATTTGTATGCATTTATTATGTACAGCTTTTGTTTATAAAAATCTCTAAGAACATCTTAAGAGCATTTGTCTACAAACATCTCTAAGAACCGTTCTATTTAAAAATAAAGTATCCTATTTATAAAGAATATTAATTTACATAATCATGATATTCTGACATAGAGGGAGCTATTAAACTTGTATAAGATGCTACAAGGTTCAGAAATTTCATATTTGAAATCTCTATTTATAATTTGTTTTTAAAACATGTTTGAATCCTCTACTATTAAACTTTGACAACACAGACGTAAGTGGGTGCACTAGTTAGGGTTCTCCAGAGATACAGAAGCAAGATGATATATACAGAGGTTACCAAAAAAATGTATACGGATTTTAAGCATGGAAAAAACTGTATTACAATCAATACTCAGGTTATACTGATGGCATTTGTTATCTTGTATATTGTATCTTGTTTCTCTTATAATTGCAGAAGTCAAACATAGCTTGAGTATTACAATTTTAATACAGCTATTTTCCTTGCATGAAATGTGTATAAACATTTTTGGTGCCCTCTGTATGTTATATCCATAAACATTATATATGTAAGAGGGCTTGTTAGGGGAATTTTTCTGGCAATTATGAAGACTGAGAAGTCCCAGGCCAGACCATTTGCAAGATGGAGACCCTGGGAGGCTGGTAGTGTTGTTGAGTCCAAGTCTGAAAGCCTTAGAAATAGTAAAGCTAAGGCCAGGCGTGGTGGCTCATGCCTGTAATCCTAGCACTCTGGGAGGCCAAGGCAGGTGGATTGCCTGAGCTCACCGGTTTAAGACCAGCCGGAGCAAAAGCCAGACCCTATCTCTAAAAATAACTGGGCGTTGTGTCAGGTGCCTATAGTCCCAGCTACTTGGGAGGCTGAGGCAAGAGGTTCACTTGAGCACGAGTTTGAGGTTGTTGTGGGCTGTGACATGATGGCACTCTACTGAGGATAACAAAGTGAAATTCTGTCTCAAAAAAAAAAAAAAAAAGGAAGGAAGGAAGGGAAGAAACAGGAAAGCTAATGGGATAATTCTCTGAGAACTGGGATGGAGCTGGAGGAAGTCCTGGAGTCCAAACCCTGCAGTCCAATGTGCTAGGGGAGGGGGAGAGCATCCCAGCTCCAGGAGAGGGACGGACACATTTGCCTTTCTCTGTTTTTATTGTGTCTGGACCCTGGTAGACTGGATGGTGTCCATGCACAATAAGGGTAGATCCCCCACCTGGTCCACTCAGACTGACACACTAAATTCCTCTGGAAACACTCTCACAGACACACCCAAAACAAGGCTTCATTGGGTTTCTAGATGCTCCAGTTCATGCAGGTTATCACCTAAAATTAACTGTCTCAGTAGGCTATAATAATTTATATGTTATAAAATCAAGGTAAAATGATTTATGTAATATACAAAAAATGTAAATAAAATGGCATTTTAAAATCAAAAATAATAACTAATACAGAATAAACACTGAACCAGAGATGTCTTTAATAGGAAAGATTCCTAATTAACCTTGTAGGTGCAATGGATACTATTACTATCAGACTTCATCCCATGTTACATATAACAAACATATTGTATATATTAAGTATTATAAAATTATATTTGCAGGATATACATTTTTCTTATTTTAAAGGTTTTAATAAATGAAAGATTTCCCCCCATAAACTTGATCATGTCTATCTCAGTAACACAGAATGAAGTACATTGTTTCTGAATGATGCCTTCTTAAGAATATAAATATTGTGCTCGCTTCGGCAGCCCATATACTAAAATTGGAACAATACAGAGAAGATTAGCATGGCCTCTGCACTAAGATGACATGCAAATTCATGAAGCGTTCCATATTTAAAAAAAAAGAATATAAATACTTAAATTTGCTCAGTGTCATTGCATGTACATTATCTTTTGCTTTTAATGACTATAATATTTTCTAGCATGTGACACATAATGTATTAAACATTCCTCTTTTGATGGAGATCAGTCAGTCACATCTCAAAAGCTTCTTAAATATTTTAACTCCCCAGAAGCATTACTTCAGTGTTTAGTATAAGAGATTGAGGTAGAGAACAAATCTATAGACATGTATACCCCAAATCTTTGTAAATAACCAGTAAAACATATTTGCCAAACTTAGCACAGGTCTTTTTTTTAAATATAACTGGTCATTAACTTTACCAAAATGATAGTCAAAAAGAATAATCTTCAATTTTTAAAATTTGATTTACTCACTTATTATCAGTAAAAATTAGCATTTTTTGCATTTTTAGTTGATTTGTGACTTTTTTGTTCATACACTTTTTGCCCATTAGTGAAGGGTGAAGGTTGTCAGTCTTTTATTTATCTATCTTGTTTTTTTTTTTTTTTTTGGATATAGGATCTTAATCTGTAACTCTGGGTAGAGTGCCCTAATGTCATAGCTATAGCAACCTCAAACTCCTGGGCTCAAATGATCCTCTTGCCTCAGCCTCCCCTAGCTGGGACAGTCCTGCTATAGCTGAGACTACAGGCTGACAGCCACAGGACCAGCTGATTTTTGTTGTTGTTGTTGTTGTTGTAGAGATAGGGTTCTCCTGCTCAGGCTTTTGAGATCAAGCAATCTACCCACCTCTGCCCCCCAGGGTGCTGGGATTACAGGGATGAGCAGCCTCATCCAGCCATTCTGTCCTCATTGATCTCTATGTGTTCTTATATTTGACTTTATATTAGTAACAAATATTTTTTTTCTGGCCAAATCCATTGTTTTTAGTGTTTGTTTCTGTTACATATTTTTCTTAGTATTTGTCAAAGAAAAGTAAAAACTACCTTAAAGTTTGTGGCAAAGACTGAGGTTTCCTTTGGGAGTGATGGGCCAAAGCAGAATGGAGAAGATCTGAGGAGGGAGGTAGAGACTGAGCAGCCCGGGGGCAGGGGCCTGTGGGGGTGACAGTGACGGGGAAGGTTTGTGGTTCACTGTATTTGATGAATGGCGAGGCTTCTGGGTGTTCACTACAACAATGAGAAGAGGGGAAATGACTGCAATGGGACAATAAACTTAATTTATAAGAAAAATAAGTGGAAGAGGCTAGAGGAGAATGAAGTCAGTAGTAAGGTTCTGAGTCATCAGAAGTTTATGTTAGATTGTAAGGAAGTTTCTTTACTACCCACAAGCTGATGACCAGGGAAGTCTCTCAAATCATACATTATACAATCTATTGCTGCGTCAAACCAGACTACATTAGACTGCATTATGCTGTACTAAACCACATGGAAACACTCTATAGTGGGTTCTGATATAGGCTACCAATAAGGATTATTACTTATAATTTGCTGGTAAGGCTAAAGATATAATTTCCATTCTATCAAATCAACATACTTTTCTATGTTTTTTCCATGTAATTTTTGACACAACATCCAATGTTTTTTTTTTTTTTTTTCCTTTAAAGCCTCAGACTTAATATTGGGAGGTTCTCATTAAGCAATATGTAATTGTAAAACAGTATGAAATTCTTTCAGGACAGAGTTAATTTATTGTACAGATGAGTATCTGAGAACCTAGAGGAGAAACTTTTAGAAAATCTAGTAATGACGTCAAAATACCTTGTTAATGAGAGTCTATGAAAAACTACAAGGGAAGCTCTTGTGTAATTGCTGATTTGTAGTTTTTCTCCCCCACAAATACCTATCAAGGATAAAAGTATTACCTTGACTTTTGGTACTTTGAAAGATATTTGAGAAATCAGAGCTATTTTAACTGCAAATGAGGAGATATTAAATTTACATATTAAGAATATTTGTCACATCAAATAATCAGCAGTGCTCGATTTCTTAGTCATGATTATTTTTGCAACTAATCTCTTTGTTTTGTTTTGCTTTCCCAGTAGATCCATTAGAGAAAAGTAAAAGAAGGTAAACCCCTGGGCTGCATAACTTGGAATATATTCTTAGAATTTACACAAGAGAAATTATTTAAAATGGAAAGCAATTTTCTATTCATGTTAATTCGACAATTCAAAAACTTACCCAATTGTTTAAAATATTTAGTGTTGACATAAGTGAAAATTGTTTCATTATTTTAATTTTCACTTATGAATTTCTAAGTCAAGATTCCATATTTTTCTGGGATTTTGTGAATACTTGTTTATCTCCCTTCTTCATTTTTGGTGGTTTATTGGTAGTTTCTCATAAATACAGATGTTCTATATGTGTG